CATTTTAGGACAGCAAGAACCCTGTTTACGTTTAATAAACACAACACGTGGTAAATAAAAAACATTCATCAGCTAGTTAGTTTTAAATATAATTACCACGTGCAAACATACATCTATATAAAATTCCATAATAATAATAATTTAATTTTAAGAAAAACAAATTCATCAGCTACTTAGTTTTAATTAAAATTACCACAATAGTGAATAAAAGATAAGATAAAGTAGGGGTGTAACATCAGACCTTTTCTTAGTAATAATGAAAATAATGTTAGAATTCAATATCACTGAAACTTTTTATGCCAAAATAAAAGAATAGGCCTGAATAAGGTCCTCTTAGTTAGTTCCCACTTATGAAATGAATTTCTATACAAATGCATCATTTCATTAATGGGAACTTTAAACCCCTCCACCACGATAAGGTGGGACCTTTTTGGAAGGGAACCCCCACCTGAAATACATTAATATTAATCTACAATAAATTACAGAAAAAAACATGCTTTATAAACAAATCAAATATTAATGGATGTTAAAATTTTTAAAAAAAATTTGTTGCAGAATTAGGTAAGTTCTCACCCGAATGATGGTTACCACCACTTCCAGCGACGGGTCAAAGTTGTTTGTCTCCTGTCATATTCAGGTGAAGGCAAATTCATATGGCTCCCGAAGATATGGCTTTCCTACAGGCATCCTGGAGTACTGCAGTGTGAGGAGAAATCTGAAATGAAACACAAATTGTTGAAAATGTCCAAGTCTATTCCCACACACGCTGCAGCTGAAGAGAATCCTACTTACATATTAACGAAAGTGCCTAATGATCTCTGGGGTGACTGGAAAAAGACTTCGGGAAAAACAGCAAAACATCAAGTGAAACCGACAACGCTCTTGACTCTCAGACTCCGGATAGTGCCAAAGGATCTCTGGGGTGACTGGAAAAAGACTTCGGGAAAAACAGCAAAACATAAAGCGAAACCGACAACGCTTTAGACTCTCAGACTTAGTAACTTCCCCTCGCCATCTGGAACAGTGGTGCATAACCTGAAAAGCAACAACCACCAATGAGTAAACAGCAAAAGCAGCTTTCACCTCAGCACTAAGCGACAGACCGCAACTTACTTTGACTAGTCGAGGAAGGCGCTTGTCTCCTACAGGCGTTACGAAAACCAGATTCCTACGAGGTCGTGCTGACCTGGAGTACTGCTGGGTGAGAAGAAATCTGAAATGAAACACAAATTGTTGAAAATGTCCAAGTCTATTCCCACACACGCTGCAGCAGGAGAGAATCCTACTTACATATTAATGAAAGTGCCTAAGGATCTCTGGGGTGACTGGAAAAAGACTTCAGAAAAAACAGCAAAGCATCAAGTGAAACCGACAACCCTCCTGACTCTCAGACTCGGGAAAGTGCCAAAGGATCTCTGGGGTTACTGGAAAAACAGCAAAACCGACAACGCTCTCGACTCTAAGACTTAGGAACTTCCTCTCGCCACCTGGAACAGTGGTGCGTAACCTGAAAAGCAACAACCACCAATGAGTAAACAGCAAAAGCAGCTTTCATCTCAGCACTAAGCGACAGATCGTAACTTACTTTGATGGGTCGAGGAAGGGGCTTGTCTCCTACAGGCGTTCTGAAAACC